GCTGCTTTCTAAAAGTGACATGGGGGGCGCCTGGGTGGCTCAGTCGTTAAGCATCTGGCTTCGGCTCAGCTCATGGTCCCAGGGTCCTGGGATCGAGCCCCACATCGGGCTCCCTGCTCCACGGGAAGCCTGCTTCTCCCTCTCCCACTCCCCCTGCTTGTGTTCCCTCTCTAGCTGTCTCTCTCTCTCTGTCAAAATAAATAAAATATTAAACAAAAATAAAAGTGACATAGGATCTTCCTTAAAGTGTATTTTGCAAAGTACTATTATCTGTTATATATATTTTTTAAAAGTGTATGTTGGGGGAAGGGGGCTCCATGGCTGGAGAAATATGGAGAAAGTTGGATAAAACAGTTAAGCAGTTCTTTACCAAAGACTTTCTCAGAATCTTTAATATACTAATATGAATTATAAATATTCATGAGGCAGGATGATAGTAAGCAAAATTTCCCAAAATTTTTCTCTTGGGAATGCTTTCAACTTTAAGCATCTCGGGTGTGGGGTGTTTTGCATGGCACCTTGTGGGAAATTCTGCTCTAGAGTTCTCATGCAGCAACAGAGAGGCTCAGTTACTTAGGCAAGTGAGGGGAGTGGAAGAAGTCTCCACTTACTGAGTATCCCTCACATGTGCGACACTCACCTTGGTTCAGGCAGGGGGCTGGGTGCTTAAATGTGGAGGCCCCACAGCAGCACCGTGAACAGGAATCATCATCGCTCCCGTTTCCTAGCAGGGAAGATGCTATCAGAGAGATTAAGATACGGAGCCAAGGGCCACGCCGTTCCTTGCAGAGTCGGGATTGGAACCTATGCTTGTTTGACTCTGAATCCAAACTATCCAAACCCATAACACTGTGTTGTCTAAAGGATGGTGGAGGGTGATGGCAGCCCAACTAGCCAGTCTTTTCCTTCTCCCACCAGGGCATCCACATAGACTCTTAAAACCCCATGTTCTATTTCTCCTGCAAGTGTCGAGTATTTGTTGGGCCATCTCATGCTGGCCATGGACTGGGTTCTCGGTAAGGTCAAGCAGCCTGGGGGGTGGTGCCAGGGTCCAGTCCACAGAAGCTCAGTAGGTGGGGCCAGATGGCTGTGACCCTGAGTGGCCCTGGCCAGAATGCTCTGCTGGAACCATCCATCCATTTCTTCCCCTTGCTGGCATTTTCTCCCTTGCGGCCACGTATCTTCTCATTCCTCTCCATCTGCTGAAGTCACTGGAATGAGGGGCCCACATGTACACCAGCACTTCTGCCAGGACACCCGGAAGGCACTCAGACCCAACAGGGCTGCAGTGGCCAAATGCTGGTGATGAGGTCGGCTCTGTGAGGGGGCACAGGACATGGAAAAGTGCTGGCTGGCTCTAGGTGGAATCTCCCACCTAGTATCAAGGGGGAGAAAATAGGGGGTTTCTGTATTTCCTGGAAAGAGCAAAGGCATACCTTTCAGGAGAGACCTGAGACAGATTTTTTCTCCCACTGTCCTCACCTTCCTCTCATGAGACTGCTGGGGAGTTTGGTAGAGATTAGTCACTCCTATTAATCCATTACTAATTTGGTTAGAGGGAGACTGGCCTTGTTTCTTTCTTTTTTTTTTTTTTAAAGATTTTATTTATTTATTTGAGAGAGAGAGAATGAGAGATAGAGAGCACGAGAGGGAAGTGGGTCGGAGGAAGAAACAGACTCCCTGCCGAGCAGGGAGCCCGATGCGGGACTCGATCCCGGGACTCCAGGATCATGACCTGAGCCGAAGGCAGACGCTTAACGACTGAGCCACCCAGGCGCCCCGGGACTGGCCTTGTTTCTGAGCATAAAGCATAAAGCTCAGAAACTCAGGTGTTGCACAACTGAACTCGCTGTCCTCCCTCTCTGTATACACCCCTCCACCTGCGGCCCCTGTCTCCACACATGGCCTTGCCCCCTTCCTGGCGTTGGGGCTGGAGACTCTGCCCCTTTTCTTCCACCCTGAATCAGTGGGACAGGCTTGTCACTTCAACCTCGGCAGGTCCATCCCTGCATCCCCACTGCCGTCCTTTGGTCCAGACCTCGTACTCTGCCCCAGCGGTTTTGACAGCCCTCACTCCTGCTGGTACTGCCTCTAATGCCAACCATGTGCCAAGCCGTCACGAGGCCTCTGCAGCAACAGGGTATGGGGTTTTTAGAAGCAGCTTTGAACTAGACTCATAACTGAGCCCCATACTGGGCAAAACGAGCCCAGAAGACATAGTTATCCAGACCAAGAAGGGGAAGATAATTCTGTCCAGATAGGGGGCAAAGACACAGACAATGACTGTGTGCTGTGGGGAACTTGAGTCGTATGACCGTGATGAAGTTTGAAGGGCAAGCTGTGTGGCAGCAGGCGCTGCAAGCAATCTAGTGCTGCATTACAAAGCAACCCGAAACCTAGTGCTTCAAACAGTGACAGCATTCAGTTTGTTCACACATCTGCCATCTCTGTAAGTCTTGGTGGGATAGCTCATTTCTGCTCCACTGGGTGTGAAGGCTGGGGCTGGAATCCCTCTGGAGGCTCTTTAGGTAACATATCCGGCAGTGGATGCTGGTTGCAGACGGAAACTTTAGCTGGAGTTGGCGGGAACAGCGACATGTGACCGCTCCATGAGCAGGGAAGACTGGGCTTCCTTACAATGTGATGTCTGGTTTCTAAGGGTCCCAAGAGAGAAGGAGCCAGATGGATCCTCTATCAGGACTTAGCTTCAGAGGCCGCAGAGCATCACTTCTGCTTCGTTCTCTTCATTAGAAGCAAGTAACAAAGATCAGCCCTGATTGAAGGGGAGGGAACACAGACCCACCTCTTGATGAAGGAATGTCATTGTCACACTGGAAGAGATGCATGTAGGACAGGAGATACTGGGGTAGCCATCCTCATAAAATACAGTCAGCCACAGCAGGGCACAGAGCTGGAGGCAGGCAAGGTCTAGGATCTGTAGCATCTTCAATACCATACCAAAGGCATGGGTTTTTATCTTGGAGGAGGCAGGGGGGCCAGTGAGCAGTGTTAATTTGGAGATAGCCTGCTCACATTTGAGTTTGAAAAAGCTGTCTCCGGGGTGGTGGGTTGGAGGGTTTTAAGGGGGCAGCCAGTGAGAGATTGCTGCAGTGATCCAGGGAGAGAGGTGGGCCCGAGACAAGGCATGACCTGCACACACAGTGCAGGTTGAGTAGGAGAGACACCAAGGAGAAATCGGGGCTTCCACCAATTTTGATTCAGGAGGCCTGGGTTTGGGCCTGACTTCTATATTTCAAAGACACCACCACCTCCCACCAGGTGATTATGGATCAAAACTGAGTTAAGAGCCACCAATTTAGCCCAGTTACCTTACAGGGAAATCAAAAGCCCAAGAGGGAGGGCACTGGCTAAGGTTGCACGTTGGGGTGAGAGGCAGGCCCCAAACTGGTCCACCCCAGGCATCCCAAGGGCCTGGCCCCTAAGCACAGAGGGCCGGCTGCATGCAGGATGCTGTGCAGACATTTGGGATCCCCATCTCTGGACTTCAGTTTCCCTGTTTGTAAAAGACAGTGGGACTAGTTTTCCAAAATACCTTTATCACAAAATCTTAAGAGTTCCAAATATGAGGTGAAGCAGAGCAAAGGCTCCCTAGGGAGGCAGGGGTGGAGTGCTACCTCTGCCTCTAGATGTAGAGGAGCTGTCCCTGCTGTCTGTCCCTGGTGAGGAGCTAGGTGACCACGGGCTCAGGCAGGAGACAGTTAGGAGAGGCATGTGGTTTTGTGGGTGTAATGGCCTCCTTGGATTTGGAAACTGTGAGCATGATGCGTGGGCAGGCAACCAGTGCCGGGCCCTGTCAGAAGCCCCAGGCTGGCCTCACAAAAGCTCTGCCCCGGCAGGTAGGAGAGGGAATGTCAGCTCTGATCCCACAGTCCAGAGAAAGGCCCCTACACAGGGGGTGGGCTTGGCTGTGCAAGGAAACGGAAATGAGGGTGGAGCCCCAGTAGCTGTCCTAAGATGCCAGCCCTTCAATTAAGGGAAGAACTTGGGCAGGCTATGACACATCAGGGCCCCCCGCCCTTCCCTGAAGGAAAAATGCGGTCTCCAGAAAGGGGCACCTCACAGGGGAGCTCAGCGATGTGGGGCTCCTGGCTCTGAGCCTGCTCTGGCCCAACCCACCAGCCAAGAACCCAGGAAATCCAGGAGCTCAGCCTGGAGCCAACTCCAGATGCTACAAACCGCTGTCCACCCGCCACGCTGGGTATCTGTCCCATCAATCCTAAACTCACATCCCCATTTCCTCATACCCACAGGACAGGCATAGGGGGCGGGGTAGGAGGCAGAGACAATGGCCTGGGGCCTTCCTGGGGCCCCTATTATCCATCCAGGAGAAGCAAGCACAATCAGAGATACCCCAGATAAGAGGTGATAACAAGCTGGGGGGGGGCATTCAAACCAGGGGGTTTGTATCTTCATGGTGCATTAGAGGGGAACCTCGGAGAGTGGATGTTAATGGTGGAGAGGAGAATGGAGGACAGCTCAAGAGGGGTGAAGCAGTGTGACCTAGGGCTTGTTGTGCCCCTGGGAGTGACCAGGACTGGCTGGAGAGTTGCCTCCAGGACTCCGAGGACACAGGAGGAAGGGCAGAGCAGTGCCCTCTGGGCACGGTGGTGCAGCAAGGGAAATCAACAATGCTGAATGCCCTGGATGTGGGGCTGGAGAGTCGGGCCTTTGCTCGGGGGTGCTTCTCCAGCCCTGTGGTTTTGCGGGGCCATTTATGCTGACCGGAATGTGAATGGCAGGAATGGAGGGAATGGCTGACAGCACTGAGCCAGCCGACAGGATAAAGCACTGGTGTAACCATGGTACTGTTGCACCTTCAGGACCCTCCCATGACAGAAGTGTTCCCAGGTAACAGGTGAGCAAACAGGCCAGATGACTGGACCTCCCTGCCGCAGAGGTCCCACACTGGAAGGCCAAGGTCATACACAGCAGGGGCTGGCTGTCCCGAGGCCTCACCGGCCAGTGTCTCCCCCCCGCAGGTGTTCGTGCTCTGCCACGGCCTCCTGCAGCTCTGTCAGCTCCTGTACAGCGCCTACTTCAAGAGCAGCCTCACCACCATCGAGAAGCGCTTTGGCCTCTCCAGTTCCTCCTCGGGTCTCATTTCCAGCTTGAACGAGGTAAGCAGGAGGTTCTGGTGCATCCGACCGCACGTGTGCACCCCCCGAGCCCGGGGTCTGGTTGGGGGCTCTGCGAGGGGCAGGGGAATGGGGAGCTGGGACCTACCCGTGGGGGATAGGAACGGCTAGATGCAGCAGGCGCGGTGGCAGCTACATTTCCTGAGGCTTCCCTGCACCCGGCACTGAGCAAGGAGTCTCTGGCAGCGCCTGACCCTGGGGCCTCATCACAGTGGCCCTGTGGGCAGGTGCTCTACTCCTCCCACCTGACAGATGAGCCTTCAAACTGTGTGTCTCTCTGATTGAGTTCTGTGGCCACGCACAAGCTGACGTTGCCTCTGCTCGTCCACAGTCCGGGGGTAGACGAGTCTTAGGCCTGCAGGTGGAGAAGCAGCCCCAGGCCCGAGCCAGAGCTGTGCAATGGCCTTGACTCCCAAACAAGCTCGGATCTCTGCGACCTCCCGGCAACGGGGATTTCACACTGTCCCTCAGTGACCGCACATCAGAGTTGGAGGAGGATGGGGCGGCCCCAGAGACCCAGAGTGGGAGGTCAGAGGGCAGGGTCAGCCAGGGGTCACTGGAAACCAGGGAGGGAGAGGCTGGGGACACAGCCGAGCTCCCTCTGTTGTAGCCGCCACACTGGTGGCTCCAGGTGAGGAGATGGGGCTCCCTGGCCTGGCTTCTCTCCTCTCTTTCCGCAAGGCCCACTGTTCTGGGATGGAGGCATGGCCTCTCCCTCCCAGAGCAGAATTCGATTCTCCCTTGACTTAGTGGAATTCAGGTCGATGTAGTAATCTAGAGCTTGGCCTCCACCAGGGCAGCTTCTAAGATGGAGCCATAAAAGAAAGTGGGGTGCCTCCTAGCACCACCCTCAGCCACCACCTTTCGGTTTCCCCATCCCCCATCCTGCTGCCAGCTGGAAACGCTCCTTTGCCCTTCACTCCTTCACCCTCAATGGCCTACACAGCAGTGCCCTCAGGAGCCCCTGCCCTGTGCCAGATTCCCCTTGCAGTCCTAGGAGTGGGGGTGTCTATGCATAGCCATGGTTTCCAGATGAGGAAGCTTGCGTCTAAAGCCCAGATGCCTTATCCAGGCTGGCCACATCCATGCACACAGGGCAGCCAACATCTGAGCTCAGGTCTGTCTGATGGCCCCCATGCTAAGGCCTCCCTCTGAAGCCCCAACCCACCTCTTCCACCCATCCTCCCCACTCCCTTGTCCACAGCCCTGCTCTGCCCCAAATCCTCTCCTCCAAGCACATGGCCAGAGTCTGTCTTGGTGCCCCCCTCTGCACGCACTCCCCCGACATGGGCTGTCTTCCGCACCTGGGACATGCAGGGACTTGGCCACATGCAGCCCTGTGGCCCATCAGTCATCTCTGCTGGCCTCAGGCCCTCTCCTCTGAACTCCCTCCCAGAGCCACTGCTTCCTGTCTGTGTCTGTGTGTTTTAGGGTGTGTGTATGTGTGTGCGTGCACACATGGGTCTCTGTCTGTGCGTCTGTGTCTCGGCTTCCTGGTGTTGCCGGTGACCGGTCTACCTCTCCACATAGGCTGTGCTCTTGCAGCTCTAGCGCCGATCACAGCACAGGGACCTGGCAGCCCTCCCACGGACTGCACCCTCCTCATGTTGGCCTATGACTTTAATAATGCCCCTGGCACATATTGTCCTCACTCATGAAGGGAAGACAGAATCTCTGACATTTGGGTCACTGCAGTCCTATCCTGAGACCCTGGCAGACGTCACTAATCAACCACAGTCATCTTTCCAGCTGAGTCCAGACTCTGACTCCTTCTCAGCACCGTGTTCTAGGCACGCTACTAATCAGTAACAGATTAGTATCAGGCTGCTGCCCAGTCTCAGAGCCTTCCAGGCTGATGGGTGAGTGATCGGGAGAGGAGGGCTGGGTGCAAAAGGCCCAGCGGCAGGATGAGGAGCTTGGCTGATGGGAGAAGACATGGGCATCTTGCCCTGTGAAGCAGCCGCTTCTCCTGCTCACTGCTAAAGGCCAGGCCTGAGCAGACAAAATCAGAGGGAGCCCTAGAGGCCCCACCCTTAATGCCTCCCACCAGTTTGCCTGGGCCCCCCTGGGTTTGGGACACTGATGGGCAGGGATGTATTACAATGGGGCTTGAGTTGTAGAAGGGCTGAGGGGCTGAGTTGTGGACTCTAAAGGCCCTCCCCTCTTTAGCTAGAACAGCTTTATGTATATATATAAAATGATCTATTATATCATATTGTATTATATTATATTATATTATATTATATTATGTTATATTATATTATGGAAAAATTGTTTTTGCAAAGGGACTCCACTGCTGAAGAAAAGTTTGGGGACCAAGGACTTAAGCCAGCATCAGCCATAACGGCTGTGGAGGTCCCACTTCCTGCTGAAAAATGAGCACACACCCTGGGAGTGCTGGAAGGGCCAGTCCAGATGGGCAGGGCCGGAGCACCCCAGGCCTTCCTCCCCCTTTGGGGCACTCTGCCATCCCTCACCCAGACCTTTTAAAGTCAGCTTCAGTTAGTTTAGCTGGTGTAGCCTGACATTTACAATCATTTCTTGAAAAAATGATAGAGAAAAACATGGGGAGATAAAATCTAAGAAGCTTAAGAATAATGCTTTGCTTCCAGGTATGGGTTTCAGAATCTCCTAGAATGATATCTGGCGAGGGGCTAGAGCCACCCCCTGGATCAGGCTGGGCTGCCTCCCCACACACCTTCACACCTCCTTTCTGTGTGTGGTCTTCTGGGCAATTGTGTCCTCTTGAACAAGCCTATCACTTACTCAACAAATATTTAATGAGCACCAACTATGTGTCAAACACTGCTCTAGGTGCAGGGAGGCAGGAATAAACAGACAGAAATCTCTGCTCATATATCATTCTAGTGATAAATACAACATTTTTTTATAGAATACATTTTTTATAGAAATATAAAAATACTATACATTTTTTATAGAAATAAATAAAACTTGGTAGATCAGATTATAGTAAATGCCATGAAGAAAAATAAAGTCACAGAGGGGAGTGGTGGTTATATTTGAAATAACTATTTAAATTATAAAAATATTTAAATATAATTTAAATTATAAAATATATTTAAATATAACTTAAATTATAAGTGATATTTAATTATTAAAAATATAAGTTATACTTAACTCCTTTTTTATTGAGATAAAATTGACATTTAACATGATATTAGTTTCAGGTATACAACATAATGATTGGACCTTTGTATATATTGCAAAATGATCACATTTGATCACATTAATGACCACAATAAGTCTAGTTAACATCCAGCACCTCACATAGTTACAACTTTTTTTTCTTCTGATGAGAACTTTTAAGATCTACTCTCTTAGCCAATTTCAAACAAACAATACAGCGTTATTAACTGTCGTCACCATGCTGGGCATCACATCCCAGTACTTCTTTTATAACTGGAAGTTTGTACCTTTTGAGCACCTTCACGCATTTCGCCCACTGTCACCCCCCTATTTTTCAGAGAAGCCCTTGATGAGAAGCTTCCATCTCAGCAGGGGTCTAAAGTAGGTTAGATGTCAGGGAAGCCCTGTGGACAGGTAAGAGAAGGAGCAGCAAGTACAAAGGCCCTGAGGAGGGTATGTGTGCCCAGCTGGGAGAACAGCTGGAGGCGAAGCCGCTGGGGCAGAGGGGAGGAGAGGGATGGAGGCGAGCAGGTCAGAGCCTTCATGGGGAACAGGCTCTGGGACAGACTTTGCCTTTACTCTTTGGGGTTTGAACGGAGGGAACGTGGCCTGACGTGTCAGCAGGACCACTCTGGCTGCTGGGTGGAGAATAGGCTGCAGGGAGGCAAGAGTGGAGGCAGGAGACCCAGGGAGGAGGCTGCTGTAAGAAGTTCAGATAGGACACGGCAATGGCTCAGACCAGGAGGTAGTGATAGAGGTGGAGAGAAGCAGCTTCCAAGGGGCTGCTGAAGGACCAGTCAGCGGGATTGCTGACGGCTGCATGTGGCTGTGAAAGAGCAGTCAGGGATGATGCCCAGGTGTTTTGCTTGAGCCACTGGTAGGGTGTAGGTGCCATTTACTGAGATGGGGATGACTGGGGTAGGGGACCAGGTTTTCAGGGAGAAGATGAGGCGTGAGGTTTGGGTGTGCTAAGCCTGTGAGAATTAGAAGCACACACAGAACATGGAAAGCCATGGGACCAGATGAGCTCACCAGGACGAGAGCGGAGGTTCAGCGACTAAGCTATGAGAGTTGAGAATTCAGGGAGGAGAGGAGGAACCAGCCAAGGAAATGGAGAAGGAGCCGCCTAGGGGAAGAAAACTAGGAGAAGGTGGTATCCGGGAAACTCAGTGAAAGAAATGTTTCAGGAAGGAATGGTCATCTGAATCACATGGTGCTGAGAGGTCAAGTAAGAAGAAAACTGAAATTTGGCCAGTTGGTGATTTTTTTTTTTAAGATTTTTATTTATTTATTCATGAGAGACAGAGAGAGAGAGAGAGAGAGGGACAGAGGGAGAAGCAGGCTCCCAAGGCGCAGGGAGCCCGATGCGGGACTCAATCCCGGGACTCTGGGATCATGACCTGAGCTGAAGGCAGATGCTTAACCATCTGAGCCACCCAGGCACCCGGCCAGTTGGTGATCTTGATAAGAACCACACACCAAGACTCTGTCTCCTATTTCCTGAGATGGGGCACCTGCTTTTCCAGCCAGAGGGAGACTGTGGGTACTGACATTTAGGGCTCCTCCAGTCCAGATGAGCTTACATTCTGGGCCAGAGGATCATCTCTTTGGATGGAGTTGTAGTCAGAAGATTTGCCAACACCCTGTTTTATCATTTAAGACCTTGCTCCCTAAGCTGGGCCTTCACTTCCCTTCCCTGGCTCAGGGTGGGGCTCAGACACTACACCTTCCAGGGAGCACCAAGAACATGGAGTTACTGATGTTTACAGCCGGGAAGAAGGAACTTAGGGGTGACTTAGTCCTCCTCCCTCACTGACAGGAGTGGAAGTAAGCCCAAGGAGGGCCACTGGCAGGTCAGTAACAGAGCTGCTGGGGCAGAAACCCACTTCTCCGAGAGGCTGTAGACCAGTCCAGTTAAGTCTGGGTGCTGTAAACTCATGCACTCCCCGTTCAAACTACCTCCTAATCTCCAATGGCCAGGACAAGTTACTGACTGTTTTGAGTCCCACTGTTGTCACAAAAAAGAGAGTTGTTGCATGATGAAATGAGATAGTACACATTGCTTGGTGGTTATTCTGACCACCAAGCTGACATCCCTAGGGCATTTAGTTAGAGAGTATTTGCTGTTCCTAGGAGCCAGCCAGAACTGGAAGCTTCCTTGGACTTTGCCCCAAGAGGTTTGGGCCTAAGATGGTTGAAATTTAGGCTATGAGCTTTTCATGGTCTCTAGATGCTTCCCTTTGTCTGATCCAGGAGGCTGAGGCTGGGAAGGGAATCTGACAATAGGGGAGAGCTGAATCAGCACATCCTGGGCCCACCGTGAGGCTCTCCAGGTGAGGCTGACACTAGGTGGCCTCTTGCCTTTCTGCTTCTCCTGGGCCAGCTACAGTCAGGTCTTCTCTGTGGGTGAGTAGGGCTGAAGTCTCTGGTCTCACTCAGCCCCTCTGCTCTGTCTGCAGATCAGCAACGCCATCCTCATCATCTTTGTCAGCTACTTTGGGAGCCGGGTGCACCGTCCACGGCTGATTGGCATTGGGGGTCTCCTCCTAGCTTTGGGTGCCTTCGTCCTCACCCTCCCACACTTCCTCTCAGAGCCCTACCAGTACTCCGTGGCCAGCATTGGTAAGTGGCCTCCAGCCCCTGCTTCAAGGGGATGAGGAAGGAGTGGGCATCTCACCAAAGCTGGTGGGGATGCTTCTGGGGCAGTGGATACCACTCTACGCCATGCTGTCCTCTCCCACCAGAAAGGGTCCTTGGCTTTCATTGTTTTGCTTCTCCCCAAAGCACATCTGAAAGTGAAAACATGAAATTATGTAGAGCTTTGGAGCAGCCCTGACTTGCTGAGGTCGGAGCATGCAGCTGGTGGCTCACCTCCCCCGTGATTCCCTGTAATTCCCTGTGCTTCATGCAAGGAATGATCCAGTACACACAAGTGGGGATGCTTTCGAGCAGTGCCTGTGATGGGCTTGGCAGAGGGTCAAAGCATTGCCCGTGATGAGATCTGTGGATTTTCTGCATGTTTAATCATGTGTTTAATACTTCCTGACATTTGTACAATCATCCATCATTCTTTAGGTTATAATACACATAAACTGTGATCTCATTTGATTTCCCTGGACACCTGTGAAAGGTAGAGAAAAGGTCTAAGATGAGAACTTGGCACTCAAAGTTGTCTAGTAACTTTCCCAAGGGCACCAGTTAGGGAGAGACAGACCCAGGTCTCCTGATTCTCAGACAAGTGGCCCCTTCTGCAACACAGAGTCTCTGGTTCTTAGTGATATGCCCTGTGGTAGGGAGAGATGTATGAGGATTTTACATAAGTAATAAATAAGAATTAAATAACACGAACTTGCCTGGTAAGAGTTCCCTTTTCTTTAAAAATTATTTTATTTTTAATGTGAAAAAATCAAAATATAGCAAAGTAAATAATACAACAAACACATACTGATATGAAGATTTATCTGTTTTCCTTCAGATACCTCTTCTTTTTTTCTTTTAACAGCTTTATTGAGACCTAATTCACATACCATACAGCTCACAGTACATTGAAGGTGTTTGGGTATATTACGGTTTTGGGGTGTGTGTGTGTGTGTGTGTGTGTGTGTGTGTGTGTGTTTTCAAGTAGGCTCCACACTGGGCATGGAGCCCAACATGGGGCTTGAACTCATGACCCCGAGATCAAGACCTGAGGTGAGATTAAGAGTCAGAGGCTTAACTGCTGAGCCCCCCAGGAGCCCCTCTTATGTTATTTTTTAATTGTGGTAAAATATATATAAAACATAAAAGTTGGGGCGTCTGGGTGGCTCAGTCAGTTAAGCATCTGCCTTCGGCTCAGGTAATGATCCCAGGGTCTGGGGACCAAGCCCCACATCAGGCTCCCTGCTCTCTGGGGAGTTTGTTTCTCCCTCTGCCCCATCCCCCAACTTGTGCTCTCTCTCTCTCTCTCTCTCTGACTGAAATAAATAAATAAAATCTTAAAAAAAAAAAA